GGGGGCGGGCCGGCCCAGCCACGTGGGTGCGGCCGGGACACGCCATGGAGCCGCGGGGGCACGCCGGCGGTGAGCGGGGCCGGGGTCCCGATCCTGGTGGGGGGCGTTTGTGGGGTAGTGCGTGGGGGGGCACGATCCTGAGGGGGCGTTTGTGGGGTAGTGCGTTGGGTCCCAATGCTGGAGGGGCACTGGGCGCTGAGCAGCCCCAACCTGAGGATCCCAGGTCAAGGGCCAGACCCTGTCCCAGGCTGGGGGCTCTGATCCTGGGGGGCTGAGCCACAGATCCCAGGTCTCCGTGCAGGCTGGTGCTGGGCAGGGGTGGCATCCGCACAGGGGCTGGTTCTGCGGGCATGGGGGCTTCTGACTGCCCCTGACCCCCTGCTCTGCTTTGCTCTGCCCACAGCCCTGCCCCGGTTCCAGTGCCCCCCCGACTTCTCCGCCAGCCCCTGCATGCCCGAGACCCCCCTCACGAAGGAGGCGCTGCAAGGCCCTTCCAAGGAACTGTGGCTGATCCGGGCCCCGGCAGACTTCACCCCTGACAGGTGAGAGCAGAGCCAGACTCCTGGGTCCTCTTGCAGCCCTGGGGGACGCTGCCCTGGGCTGGGCTGGGCTGGGGGAGGTCGGGGTGGCTCCAGGTGCCCAGCGGGGGCAGCGCCAGGGCTCACTGCTGCCTTCCTCCCACAGCCTGGACGGCTGCACCGTGGTCCTGGCTGGGGCCCAGACGCTGAGGCGGAAGCTGGATGGGTCCCGGCGGCTCTACGGCATCCATGGCACGCAGGGGGAGCTGGACAGCACCTGCCTGCTGGTGCCCTCTGCCCACTCTGGGCCTCTCTGCTGCGCCCCCCCCTTCTGCGGCACCCTCAGCATCTACGAGAAGTTCGGGGACCCCAGCAGTGGGGGCCCCCCCTTGGCTGTGCCCTCCCGGCCAGCCCCCCAGGTCCCTGCAGGGCTGAAGCAGCGGTTCCTGCCCTTCGGGGGCAGCCCAAAGGGACAGTGCCCTGTGAGGGCTACAGGAACAGATGCGGAGCCAGAGCTGGGCTCAGGCAGGAAGAGGAAGAAGAGGCGGCGGGTGACAGAGGAGCTGGCAGGCAGCCTTGCGCTGCTGGACACGCAGCAGGAGACGCCTGAGGAGCTGGGGCCCTGGGGAGGGGGCTGTACCAGCCCCAAACCACCCACCCAGGAGCAGGGGCCTGTGCAGGAGCCGAGCCCCAGCCACAAGAGGAAGAGGAAGCACAAGCGGGCACATGGGGTGCCACAGGATGATGCACCTTGAGGCGAGGTGGCCCCTGCACCAGGCCAGCAGCAGCAGACGGGTGCCTCCAGGAGAAGAATGCCGGTGTACCCTAGGAACCAGAGCCGCACAGGGTCCTGCCCGAGCCAGAACTGTGCCCGTCTCCAGCCCTGTCCGATCCTGCCACTTTCTGGGGAGGACTTGCCAGCCCTGGCTGCTCAGAGCAGAGCCCAATCATAGCCACTGCAGTCCCCACCCCCAGTGCTGGGGGCCCCAGCTCTGCTCAGATCTTCAGTGATAAAGGCCAGTGCACAGCAGGAGGCCTCATGCGTCCTTTGCTCACCTGCCCTTGCAGCACAGGAGGGGCCCCATGTGGGGCTCGTTCCTATGGGGTGCAGGGTCCCCTTTGCTGGGGTGATGGCAGCAGGGGGAGGGAAGCTGGGTGCTGTGAGCAGCCCTAGGGATGAGGCAGGGGCAGGAGCCTGGTGGTTGTGGCTCCTGCTGGGGCAGGAGTTCCACCCCATGCCCAAGCAGAGCCCCCCCCCCCTGCCCAGTGAGGAGGTGGCAGAAGGTGGGGGCCTAGAAAGGGAGCCCTGAGCCATGGCCATGTGACCTTCCAGATGACCCAGCCATACCCAGGGAGGGAGGTGGGAGCCAGGACCCCGTGCCAAGCTCAACAGGGCCTGGCTGGGAGGGAGGGGGCACAGTCCAGTGCCAGGCACAACCCAGAGAAGGGAGGGCTCTGGGCTGACCTTAGGCAGCAGCACCACACAGGCCTCCAGCTGCGCCCCGCACCCATGCGAATAGGGATCCCTGCCCTCTGCCTGCCACGCTCCAGCACACAGGCCGAGTCAATCTCTGCCCAACCACCTTTATTGCGCAGCAGGTTGACTCCAGGCCTGTAGGCAGCGTTTGGGGCCTGGTCCGGAAGCAGGCTGGTGTCACTCCTTGTCCAGGCCCCTGGGCAGGGAGGGCTCTGCCCGCCGGGGCACCTTCAGGAAGGGCTCATGGAGGACGTCAAAGAGCCTCTTGGCCTAGGGGAGAGCCAGGCAGGGAAGGCTGAGCCAGAGGGGCTGTGCCCAGTGCCAGCCTGTGTGCCAGTGGGCAAGTGCAGGTGCTAGGAGGGCCCCAGAAAGGACCCTTGCTTGCTCCTACCTTCTGAGGCCCAATGCCCGGGCACAGGGACAGGTCCTCCCGGGACGCCTGTGTGATGCTGGCCAGGGACTGGAAGGCAAGGGCAGGCACAGTCAGGGGGGCCTGGCTCTGCCAGGGTCGTGCACTGGGGGCAAACAGGGCTGGCAGGAAGGGGCAGGTCCCCACAAATGACCCCCTCCCAGGTCTGGCCCCCCGCACCTGGCAGACCCAGCCCCAGCTCACCCCAAAGGCAGAGAGGAGGCTCAATGTGTTCGTCTTGTTCACCGACTTGACGCTGGTGAAACAGTTCGTCATCTGCAGCAGAACAGAGTTGTCAGCTGGGCACCGTCACTGGGGAGCTTGCAGACCCCAGGCCCAGGCCGTAGCACTGCCTTACCTGGGAGAGGAAGTCCTGGTCTACCTTCTCCATCAGCAAGTCAGGCGGCTTCTGCTCGTAGGCCTTGTAGGTCTCCAGGTAGCGCCCGGCCTCCTCAGGGCTGAGGGAGAGCACCGGGGGGAGCTCAGGGAGGGCGAATGACCCCTGGCCAGTGCCTGGCCCAAGGTCCCCATGGCCCAGAGTGCAGCATCCCCAGTCTTGGGGATCTGGCTCCATCACAGCAGGACTGATTCCTTAGCAAGTGCCTGTGGCTGTCGGTGGCGACACCTTGCCTGCCCAACCCCTCCTGGTCAGAGCTCAGAACATTCCCGGGCTGCCCCCGCCCTTGCCCCTTACCTCCAGGCCAGAACGAGGGTGCAGTCTGCCAGGATGCAGATCTTGGCTAGCTCCTTTAGAGCTTTATGCGGGTCTTTCTGCAGCAAGGAGAGAGCGGTGGGGTGGAGGGGGGGAATGATGGAGGACCTGGGGCTGCAGCATGGGGGGGGCAGGGTCGGAGGGGGGTGCCACTTGCAGTTCCTCACCACATCAACCTGGAGCAGCAGGATTTGCAGGGCAAAGGTCCGGCCCAGGCGCCGCAGCCGCTCATGGATGTAGTCCGGTTTGAGGTTGTGGTACCGCAGGCTGTGGCCAGGAGAGTGGAACAGAGAGCGCTGGAGTCGGTCACTGTCAGCCTGGGCCACAGGTCCCTCCGGGCAGCCCAATTCTCCCCCACACCCCTGAATGAACCAGCCCTGCACCCACCTCAGCCTTCCCCCTGCCCTGCCAGAATGGGCTGGCCGCGGTGCCACCCCGATCCCTGCCCAAACGGGCTGCCCCCCAACCTGACCCCTTCCCCCAAAACAAACCAACCATTCACTGCCAGCCTGGCCGCACCAGGGCTCCAGTGGGCACAGCCTTACCATGGGCTGGAGACCCTCACGCTGCCCAGCTGGCCCTGGAGCGGTGCCTCTCATAGCCCAAGGGGCCGCCCCATCACTGCTGGTGCCTGGCAGGCGGGCACGGACCCGAGAGCCTGGGCTCACCTTAGGAAAAGCGCACACGTGCTCTGGCCCAGCACGTAGTCGGGGACAACGTCGCCGAACTCCCAGGGGACGTTGCGCACGAACTTCAGGACAGGGTTTCCCCGCTGCAGAGGGAACAGCCGCGGGCATCAGAGCCGTGGCAGGGGTGCTGGGAGGGGCAGGGGACCCTGCCCGCCCCCTCCTGCCCTGTCACCTGGCAGGGCCTGACGATGATGCTGCTGCTGCTTCTGACTCCCGGCTTGAACGTGGGGCTTGGGGCCACATCCCCAGGCCCAGGCCCGCCCTCGGACCCCTCCGTGCTGTGGGTGGCAGCGGGCGAGGGGGCCTTGGCCTCCTTGCCGGGCGGGGGCGGCTCTGGGGCAGCCCCTTGCTTGGATGCCAAGGCAGTGGCTGGGGCAGCCCTGGGGGCCGCGGCCGTAGCCGCCTGCTTGACCACATAGTCTGCGTAGGATGAGGGCCCGGGCGGGCTGGGGGCCCCCGGCTCAGCGGGGGATGGAGCTGCTGCAAAGGACTTAAAGAAGGGTCTCACCTGGGGGAGAAGAGACGTGAGGGGAGCGCGGGCCCGGCGGCCCTGGCCGAGCACAGCACGAGCCCGGGGACTCCTCTGGGTCCCTGCAGCGGGTGAGCCCCTCCCGGCCCCGCGGCGCGGAGGCTCGTCC